TGGGCRCTCCGCTCGCTGCCCTCCGCCCCCGCGAAGCAGGAAAGGGGCAGCGGCCGGGCCGGGAGCCGGGGGCGCCCAGCGGGCCAGGGCTGCCCTCAGCGGGCGCCGCGCTGGAGGAGGCCGCCCGCAGCTGGCATCGGGCGGGTAGCGTTTCTGCTTGCTTCCTGCCTCTGCAATCCCGGCAAGGGGGTTGCTGCGCGGGGGGAGATGCAGAGCTTGGGAAACGCGGCTCTAGGGGAGCAGCAGTGCCGCATGCACCTTGTTTAGGGCTGTTGAGATGGCAGCGAGGAGCACGGGCCGCATGGCCGCGCGGCAGCCAAGGAGCTGCGGGAGGAACCCTTGGCACGGCTGTGCTGGCGGTGCGGCCGGGAGCCTCTCTGCTGCGCTCCGCCTGCTCCGTGCACTCTGCCAAAGGAGGTGAAGGGGGGGATGAGGGGGCTGCTCTGAGGCTCGGGACTGAAGCTGGCCCGTGAATACGGAGTGACGGAGCTGCCCCGCRCGGTGCTGTCCTGCACCTCCCGCTCGCGGCTTTGCCCCCGCGCCRGCGCTTTTCAGGGGCTATTGCTCGGAGCGCTGCTCGGAGCCCTGCGGGCAGCGCGTCCCCGCGTCCTGCACAGAGGACAGCCCTGCTGCAATGCGGCGGCTCGCGCGCCAGGAGAGCAGCTCCGGGCTCGGGCAGCAGCGCCGGCCTCCTGCGCCGCGGCGGCTGCGCCGGCAGCCGGGCAGGTGCCGGTGCCTCGGGACGCGGTGGGCAGCGTGGGCTGGGGGCTGCGGGTGCGCGGGGTCGGGGCGGCTCCGCGCCTGTGTGCGGCACGGTGTGCGCGTGTGTGTGCATGAATGCGCGTGGAGCTGCGTGTGCGCAGGGCTGCGCCTGTTTCCCTGCGCGTGCAGGACGTGGATTCGTGCCCCTGAGTGTGGGCACGAGCGTGCGTCGACGTGGGCACGGCTGCGCTGCTCTGCGTGCAGGCGTGCTGGCCTCGGTGTGTGTTCCCATCCCTGTGCTTGCGTGTGTGCATGCACGAGCGTGCACAGGTCTGCGCGCGTGTGTATGAGTGCCCCGGGCATAGATGCCTGTCTGCGTTTGTGCGTGAGTGCGGAGGGACGTGTGTGTCCCTGTGTGCGTGCACACGCGTTCGTGAGGCGGCAGCAGTGTGCGTTTGTGTCCCTGCGTGTGCCCAGGTGTGCCTGTGTTCCCGGGCACGTGTGGCTGCGCAAGTGTGCGTGGATGCGTGGCTTCCCTGCGCGTGCACACGAGTGTGCAGACACGAGTGTGTGTCTGTGTGCACGTGTATATGTGCACACAGATGTATGGATATACACGTGCATGGGCACACGTGTGCCTGTGCCCCTGTGTGTGTGTGTGTGTAAGCACATGCATTTCTGCACGTGTGTAGACATATGTGTGTGTGTCTGTGCACAGGGGCTTGTGTACGGCTGCCGTGCAGCACCTTTGCAGAGCTCCGTGCTGTCGTGCCAGAGCTCTTGTGCCCATGGGGGTGCCAGGGGCATCTCCTGAGCATGGAGCAGTGGGACCTGCTCAAGCGTGTGCAGCATTTGGCCCATCCATGGTGCAAACCCGCAGAGAAGCTCTCTGTGCCAGGGCAGCATCCCCAGCCCTTGGGAACGCTGACCTTCAGCATCTGCCTTCATGCCAGTGTGGTGTAAAGCACTGATGATTCAAAGGGAGAAGTTCAGGGGAAGGGAAATCCTTAAAATACCTCGGAGTTGCTCAGCTGTTTGGAGCCACCACTTCAAAACCTTGCCGTGCAGTGAAAATGCCTGTGCTTTGCTCTGCATTCCCAGAGCAGACCTGAACCTCTCCTGCATTAATCCAACACCATCCTCACTGAAATCTTCCCCTCAGAGTCACCTTTGGAAAACTGTCCTTGTTGGTAATTTCTTTTTCTGGTGCATGGAGGAAGATGCTGGTTCTCCATGAGAGAGGATCCCCACTTTGCAGCTGGAGATATTCAGACCATGGCTAGAGAAGTCCCTGAACAACTTGATCTAGCTTTGAACTCCGATCAAAGGAAGRGGTTGCACCAGAGATCTGTGGAGATGCCTTCTAACCTCAGTCCTTCTGTGACTCTAAATCACCAAATACCACTGACCAGAGCCAAGATCTCTGCCTCCAGCAATCCCCTATATAGGCGCTAGACTGCCAGTAATACCAGTTGAATCCTGCCTTGGCTCTGCTACCTGTTAAATCCCTTTAAGGATCATCTCATTTCTCCCACCTCGTTTCCAACCTCAGGCTTTTGGTTTTGGCAAGGAGGTTGTCTTGCTTTTGTCCTGCTCTGCAAGAATGCCACGGTGTGGGCCGGGAATCCAGCCACGACGCTACCTGAGGACATGTTTGTCTGTCGTTCTCCTCTCCCAGAAGCATCTCCATGTCTCCTCTGATTCCTTGGCACCTTCTGCGCAGCATGATCGCCCTGTGCAATGGCCTTAATTGGGTGTCATTTGATTTACGGTTGTATCTTACATGATCCCTCAGTCCTCCACTTTCCCCGCGTTCTGTCCGTCTCTCTGCCTCCCCTGCCTCTGCTGTCCTCTTTACTAACGGCTCTGCTCTCTGTCACTTGCAGGTGACCACAATGTTGCACCATGGCAAGAACTGGAGGTCCATGTGTAAGGGGCTCGTCCTGGGAACACTCCTGACCAGCTTCATGCTGCTGCTCTACTCCTACGCCGTCCCACCCCTGCAAGTCAGCATGACAGAGTAAGTGCACGTCCTACACACATAGCCCAGCACAGCTGGGCAGCCCGGAGCTGGTCACAGAGAGGACAGCTGCTCCAGGGTGGGAAGTGCAAAGGTGGCCTTGGCCCCTAGGACAACCTGCTGGGACCCAACAGTGTGCCTGCTTAGTTCGAGGCTAGGCAGAGGGGCAGCTGCTTTCCATGGGTTGCCAACACATTCCTGAGCATCCAGCATAAGTGCCTACAGTTGAGCTTAAAAACCTGTTATATAGACACTCTTTATCTGGGGTTTGTCCTTCAAAACCGTGAGAGAACCACTGTCACGTGTCTAATACTGCCTCACACAGAAGTGATGACAGGTAAGTTCGATGCCCTTCGCAGAGGGACCTTGCAAAGACTTTAGGTCATTCCTCATGGCAAGTAGCTCAGCATATAAACGTGCTGCTGAACAGCCTGGGCATGGTGGCTGCCCCGGCACTGCTGTGCTGGAGCTTGGTGGTGCTGACTGCAGGGTTGAAGCTGGATAACGTGACCGCAGCAGAAAGGCTCCCGGTACCCTACAGATTTGGGAAGGGCAGAGAGACACCACAGTGCCTTCCAGCATGGTGTCCATGCCAGCTGCCTGGAGGGAAGGGGCTCTTTCTGCTTGGGCTGAGTGAAGTCCCTGCTAATCCTTGTCCTGGCCCTTCCTCGGAGGCCAAACGAGGCTGGGGATGTTACGGTGCAGTCAGTTCTTTCTAGGTCCCTAGGGGCAGCCATGCCAGAGTGAGGAGTGAATGGGATCTTCAGCAGGATGCTCCAGAGCATTGCCAGAGCAGGAAGTTTCTGTGAAAAGGCAGGCCCCGCTCCACCAGTGTGGCTGCTGGTCAACATTACACGCTGTGAAGAGTGGCCAGACCTGGTTCTGGTGCTGTGGGCTGTGCAAAGCAACACGGCAGCCTCTTCCCCGGGGATGTGGGCCAAGCACCCTTCCCCAGTGCTGAGCTCTTTGGGACTGGAAGCCAAGCCAACCTCACCAGAATGTCCTGTTGGTTTTTTTGTTTGTTTTCTTCCCGCCAGGATCCCTATCCCTTATTCCTGCTCTTCCTACCCAGCCCAGGCCAAGGTGCCAATGGAGGCAAATGGCACCCATGGCTCTCCAGGACAAGGCTGCCTGCCCAAGATGGACATTATGTTCATGAAGACACACAAGACAGCTAGCAGCACCATCCTCAACATCCTCTTCCGCTTCGGAGAGAAGCACCGCCTCAAATTCGCCTTCCCCAATGGCCGCAATGACTTCTACTACCCRTCCTACTTCGAGCGGAGCCAGGTGCAGCACTACCAGCCAGGTATGTGCTTCAACATCATCTGCAACCACATGCGCTTCCACTACGACGAGGTGCGCAAGCTCCTGCCAGCTGACACTGTCTTCTTAACGGTGCTGCGGGACCCTGCCTACCTCTTCGAGTCTTCTTTCCACTACTTCGGGCGAGTCATCCCACTCACTTGGAAGCTGGCGGGGGAGGATAAGCTAGCAGAGTTCCTCCGGGACCCCTGGCATTACTATGACCCTAATGGGTTCAATGCTCACTACCTCCAGAACCTGCTTTTCTTTGACTTGGGCTACGACAACAACATGAACGCCAATAGCCCACTCGTGGAGCAGTACTTCCAAGAGATAGATCAGCGCTTCCACCTCGTCATGTTGCTCGAGTACTTTGATGAGTCCCTGGTGCTGCTGAAGGACCTGCTGTGTTGGGAGCTGGAAGACATCCTCTACTTCAAGCTCAATGCTCGGAAGGGCTCCACTGTCTCCAGACTGACACCTGAGCTCTATGAGAAGGCTACTTCTTGGAACCTCATCGATGCCAAACTCTACCGCTATTTTAACGCCACTTTCTGGCATAAGGTGGATATTTATGGGAGGGAGCGAATGGCAAAGGATGTGGCTGAGCTGCAGCGGGAGAACGAGAAGATGAAAAGCATCTGCATTGATGGGGGTCACCCTGTGGATGCCAGCGCCATCCAGGAGTCCTCCATGCAGCCGTGGCAGCCACTGGGGGAAAAATCCATCCTGGGCTACAACTTGAAGAAAAAGATCAACAAGAAGCACCGCAAGTTGTGCCGCAAGATGCTGACACCTGAAATCCAGTACCTGACGGACCTGGGGGTCAACCTCTGGATCACCAAGCTGTGGAGCCGTGTGCGAGACTTCCTGAAGTGGTAGGCAGGGAAGGGCAGCGCCTCTTTCCCTCCCCACCTAAAGAAAGAACCAGGTGCTTTCGTTTTTCTTACTTCGTGATATCTTTTGGTTGGACATGAGCAGAACAAGCTTGAGACTCCTGCAGGGAATGCAGCAGTCCTTCTCCACGAAGACCTGGACACCCAAGCAAGGTAGACCTTGCACTGACCTCCGGGACCCTCGTTTGGGGCCCCGCTTGGAAGGGAGGCTGCAGGGATGTGCTGCTTGTCCGCGGGGCTGCCCGTGCCCCTTCGCACCTCACCCCCTCAGCAGGGTGCAGCCATGGCCTGTAGCACCCATGGGCAGGTCCTGGGAGCAAGACCAGGTTGTAACCACTGTCAGCAACAGGTTCTTCAGGGATTACGTGGGTTTTCTGTTCCAAGAGAATCTGTTTCTTCCTTCCTTCCTTCCACGCAGGAGAGCAGTATTTGTGAGAGACAGATCCCCTGTCATCTCCTCCTCGCAGGACCAGTGGCAAGTCCTCGCACTGGAGGTCACTCAGGACAGCAGGAGCGCACACTGGGGCCTCTGTGTGCGTGGACGTGTCGCGAGGGCGCTGAGCTCGAGGGAAGATGTGCTGGCTTCGCTCGCGCCACTCGGTGCAGTAGGTGTCCGAGTGCAAGGCAGCAGCCAGGGCACCCGCGACGCTCCGGCTGTCGGTTTCTCCTCGAGTCCCCCATGGTGCAGCCCATGCCCAAGCCCTCCACGCAGTTCAGTCTGGTCCCAGCCCCAGCTCCGCGGGTGCATTGAGCGCTCAGTCCCCAGCCTGGCCTTGCGTGTGGCTCCAGGCAATGCTGCCAACACAGAGCCAGCTAAAAGATGTGGCAGATTTGCACCATCATCCACCCTTGAGCTTCACRAATGTGAAAAACACCCTGAAAACCCAGAGCTGCCCAAAGGGGCTGGCGGTCCTTCCGCTCAGCAGCCGGGGTGCGGGCATGAAGGGCTGGYGCCAGTGTCACAGTGTGAGGACAGCTGTCCCCAGCCAGCCGGTTGCCCCAGTTAGAGGGCCCTGTGGTGCCAGTCCCTCCTGGGGATGCCCCGGGGGGACGCCAGGGCCTGGTGAGAGCTGGAGCGGGCGCTGGGAGGAGGTGGGTGCYGGGCAGCAGCAGTGAGCGCCCGAGGGGCCGTGCCCGCCTCGGGCAGAGCGGCCCGCAGCACCGGCGCGGCACCCTGCTGCAGCGCCACGGGCAGCGCGGGAACACGGGGCAGCTCCACGGAGAGCACAAAACCCATGGCACCCTCCGGCGTTCGGCCCGGGACGCAGTGAAAGCGGCAGTGCTCTGCCTCGGCGAAGCAGAGCCAGGACCTGCAGAGCGCGGCGGAGGCCGCCCGGGCGAGTGGGTCCGCGCCCCATATGGGGCCAGGAGGCGATGCCTCGAGCTGGAGCTGGGGGCRATGCCTTGGCATGGAGCTGGGGCACTGCTGGGGCTGATGCTGCGGGCGGCACGGCAGCCCCCGCGGCAGCGGAGCAGGACCCGCGCGTGGCCCCGCGCCGCGGCGGGGCTGCCTCCCCAGCGGCCCCCTCGCCGCCCCGCCACAGGAAGGAGCCGTCCCCGCACGCCACGTCCTCCATCGGGCAGCGCCACGCGGCTGATGGAGCCGGCAGGGGCTCCTCGGGGCGGCTGGTGCCCCACGCAGCCCCGGCGCGAGTCCCCCATGTGCACATGGGTCCTGTTCTGCTCTGTTCATAAGGAGGAGAAATAAAAAGCAATTCTACTTTTGTAAAATAAGTGTATTGTATATTTGGCAGTTTTTAATATAAGAATCATCCAGCTGGTCTCCATTGGTCTCGTTCTTCTCTGTGGGGAGGGGGGACAGGGACTGAGAGAGCCACCCCAGGCCCGCAGTGCCAGCCCCCAACCTGGCCCTGCCACCCGCCTGTCCCCAGAGCCGCCGGTGCGGGGGTCCCCTCGCCGCTGCCGCCACCCCATCCACGGTGCTGGAAATGCCTCCCTGGCGCCGGCATCCCGGCCAGCGCAGCCCCGCGCGCGCCCAGCGCTCAGCCCTGCCGGTGCTGGCACCCCAGGCTCCGCTGGGGACCCCAGGCCTCGGGGACCAGTGGTGTTGCTGCTTCCCGGTCTTCCCCATCCCACTGGGGAAGTCCAGGCGCCCCCCGGCCTCCCCAGGGCTGCAGCCCGCCCCAGTCCAGGGGTGCGGGGGCTCAGCAGGCCTGGTGGGCTGGGAATGGCCCTTCCTGCGGGCTGGAGCTCCCGCCCGCGGAGAGGCACCAGGTAACTCGCGGCAGCTGGGAGACTCCTGCGCCCAGGGGCTGAGCCTGGGTGCATGGGCACAGGTGCCTATATAGCCCGTGCTGGGCCAGCCCCACCTCTGGGTGCTATGGGGCTGCACATGGGGTGYCTGGGGGTGCTAGCAGCCTGGGGGGTGCTGCTCGCTGCTGAGAGAGGTGTGCGGGGCCTCCTTGGAGGCTGGGTGGGCCTCCTTATGCCAGGAGGCGGGCTGGCCCCTGCTTGCCGTGGCTCTGGCCTCCTCCACTGCTTTTCCCCTCGCTCTTTTGGGGTATCTGTCAAACTCTGAGGGTGATGGTTTTTGGGGCTCCCGTGTCACTGTGCTCTCTTCTGCCCAGCTCCCCCCGGCTTGGTCTCTTATGAGTGCGAYGGAGCCAGGGTTCGCTTGGCTCTGCGGTGGGACCCCCAGGGGCAGGGGCTCGCCCTGGGCCGGCGGTCGCTGCACCTGGGCAGCTGCCCCCCATCCACCATCGACAGCCAGCAAGGTCTCCTGCACTTCCAGTACGAGACGAAGGACTGCGGCTTCTCCCRCCTGGTGAGTCAGGACGCTTTGGGGGTGAAGGGAAGCTGAAGAGGCTGCCTTCTCCAGGGGTCGAGGAGGGATGCCCTCAGAGGGCCTGGAGAGGAAAGATGCTCCTCTGGCTGTGGAGATTCTCTGGCCCTCACTGGAGCTGCCAGCCCACCATCCCAGGCTAGGTGTCCAGAAAGGCCAAGGCCTGCATGGCGTTGGACATCCTTGGTGGTCATGCAGGTGGTTGGTGTGGCCTGGCCTGTCCTGAGCTGCCTGCTCGGTGGGGATGAACCATCCTGGGAGGCAAACATGCAGTGGTGGAACCCTCATGGTAGAGCAGCAGAGACAAAGGGATCTGCTGCTCTGACTTCTGCTGTCCCTGCTGCCTGCAGGTGTCTGGGGATGTGGTGGAGCACTTTGCAGACCTGCGGTACTGGCCACCCTACAGCAAGGGCAGCTCCCATTCCAGCCCGTTTGTTGAGAGTATCAGTTGCATCAACCATGGGTAAGTAGGCAGGTCCTGGGGTTGCTTGGTTCCTGGGTGTCTCATCCTCCCACCTGTGCCCCATGGGTAGCACCTGTGACCTCTACACTGTCCGCATGGAGAATAGCCCTGCGGCAAGGTCTTGGCTCTGGGGTGTGACCAAGCTGAGGAAATGCATCAAGGATGCTTTTCAGGTTGGGCCAAGAAGCTGAGAGCTGGGAAGAGGTTCTAGGCTGGCCAGAGATGGGGAGCAGCGACGTGCTGTCCMTGTTGCCCTAATGAGACCTTCTCCTAGGGGAAGCCACTTGGCTCCAGTGAAGGCCGCCCCAGAGAGGGGCCAGCTCTCTGCCTCGGGTGTGCTGCAAGTCTCAGTGGSCCTGCTGAATGGTAAGAGGGTCCCTCTTGGCCAAAGCAGTGCTGTGCCAGCCAGACCGTGCCCAGCATTTGTCCAGCTCTTCTAGGAGACTCCTCGAGACCCACGAGTCTCAGCTGCTTCCTGCAGAGCCTCACACTTGCAGATTACTGGCCTTGTTGAAGCATCTATTGGGATGTAAGCCCCCCTTGCACTAGGTCAGGGATGCATCTTCCTCAAGGCAAAGAGAGATGAAGAGGATGGTTACCAAGGTGCCTTGTACAGAGTGGGAAGTGTCCACTAACTCCTTTTGAGGAAGGAGATAATTTCTCCAATGTGCCTTCCCCAGCCCCAAAATAACAGGGGACCTTAGAAGGGCACCAAGCAGATGGCTTGTCCCAGTACAGCATGAGAAGCCTCCATCTGCCAGTAYTTGTTCAAACAAATGTTAACTCGTGTGCTCACTGACTGCAGACCTTGGTGCCCCACCAGACCCACCAGTCTTCCTGCTGGGCTCTCGGATCCACCTTGTATTTGCTGTGGCCAGGCACTTCCACCAGCCCCTGCAGATCTTTGTGGATGCGTGTGTGGCCGCTGCGACACCAGAGCTGCGCAAGTCCCGGAGGAGGTACCCTATTATCACAAATCATGGGTGAGTATCATGAAGGTCTAGGCAGTGTCTGTTACTGATGGATTTGTGGTGAGGCCAGGGTCAAAGGAAACTTACTAGGACAGTTGAGCAGCTCTGAAAGCTCAGCATGGTCCTGCCATGGGCTTGTTCTTGGGCTGGCTCCAACCGGAGGAAGAGGGAGATAAGGGGAATGTTGAAAATGGTGACTGCAGGACTAACTAGGCTCTCTGGTTCCAGATGCCTTGTGGAGGGTAAGGTAGCAAACTCCTACTACTTGCCAAGAGCAACCCCTGAAGTTCTCCAGCTCTCTTTGGAGGCCTTTGAGTTTGTTGGTGCAGGCTCTGGTGTGAGTAAACAAGTTGGGTCTGGAAAAGGTTTGGGAGGCTTTGAAGACTGCAKTGTTAGTGGGAATACAGCAAGGAGACTTTGATATTCCTGTTGAAAAGCTGGTTGCCACAGTGGGARGTGGCAGCATTCAGCCCTGGATTTCCTTATTTCCAGCATGGCTGGTAAGAAGTCCTACATCTCCTGTGGAGTGCCACATCTCCTGTGCTGAGCGAGCAACCCCAAAGCTACCAGTTGTGGCTACAACAGGGCTGGGCTTAGTCCTGGTCTTTGCCCATCCCTGCAGAGAACAAAACCTCCAGGCTGAGGGAGGTGTCTGGACACATCCTTGTCTCTTTCCTTGCAGATCTACCTCCACTGCCAAGTGCTTGTGTGGGACCCCACACTACATGCGGATGCCACCAGGAAGGCCTGTTCATTTCACAGGAATATGGGCAGGTACTGACCTGTGGGAGACGCTGGCCTCCACGAAGAGAGCCTTGGTTGGCCCTTCTTGTAGGGCTATTGCACTAAGTCACATATGTCTCTGTGGARTCCCTGAGCCCTACTGCTGATAGAGTTTGCCCCATACTCATGACAGCATCTGGGGCTTGCGCCTGCACTCCTCTTCTCCACCCAACACACTCTGAAGCAACAAGAATGGCTGTACTGGTGTGATGTTGAGTCCCAAATGGTCAGGCTGAAGCAGAACTGCCAGCACACTCTGCTCCGCTTGTCCCTACAGTGCCAGGAGGTGTGGGGGGCCGTCCCTGCCCTGTCCCTGTGGTCACCAGCTCTCAACTGCTTGTGATGCTGCTCGGGGACATGGGGTGTGGGGGATGAGGTCCCTGGAGTATCTCAAGGTGCCCACCGCCCATGGGTTTTCCTGTGATGACCTCCATGCTGGGCACAGCAGCATCTCACTAGTCCCTGCGTTGCCTCTTAGGTGGGAGCTCCTGGATGACCCCTTTGCAAACTCTGTGTGCGACTGCTGTGACCACCACTGCCCTGGCACCAGCTCTCGGGCCAGGAGAGACACACACCATGAGGACCCCTTAGCAGCCTGGAATGATGAGGGTGAGCCGTGGATCCCTGAGTTGGGAAGCCTGGAGTGCTCACCTTTCCCCACTCACCTGACTCCCATGGGAAGCAAAAGAAAGTGTCCTGGGGTGCAGGTCCCCTTCAGGTCCCTATGGATGGTGTCACCTTCTTGACAAACCAGAAGCAGCTGTGCTGGGAGTGGCATGTTGGCTTGAGGCCATGGATGTGCCAAGGCAGCCCTGGGGATGGGGACTAGGCCTGAGCTTGTGGGGGAGGCAGGATGCAGCTCATGGAGTCGGGGTTCACTCCCCACACCCCAGCGGAGACTTTTTCCTTTCACAGGCCTCTTGGATGAAGACCAGCTTGTACACACCGTCTTCGTCGGTCCCCTCAAAGTGCTGCGCCCAGCACCAGGGTCTGGTAGCACTACACCAGACCCCACCATGCCTGCTGTGGTGGGCAGTCATGGAGCCTAGGGGGGCCCTACACCAGCATGGTCACGAGGAGCCATCTCCTGCTGCCTCGTGCTATCCCAGCTCATCACAGGCTCCCTCTGAGTATGAGGGCCCTGCTGAGGGCCTTGGCTCCCTGCCTTGCAGGGAGGGGTGAAGTTTGACTGTTCAGTGTCAAGGAAGAGGTCAAAAGCCCTATTAAACTCCTTCCACACTTGGCCTGTGTGTGCAATTACTTGAGAGCAGAGGGGTGGGGTGGGGTGGGGTGCTGCTGGGGGGCTCCAAGCCTGGAGGGGCTGACCTGACTCTGCCTGGCCCTTGGAAGAGGGTTGTGCCCCTCCTGGCTACCATGGCCCCTACAYGGTATAACGCTTGCCACATACTTGCCACAGGTGTCCCCAGGCTGGCCCGTCTCAGTCCCGAGTAGGGTGAGACCATGTGTCCCTGCCCTCACCTAGTGCAGGGGCTTACCTGTGTAATGAGCTGGGCTCTGTGTGCCCCCCAAAACCAGGGATGGGAGCCCTGTGGCAGCAGGCAGATGTCCTGGAGATGCCTTGGGGGCTGCACCTGCATTGGGGTCCCTCCTTGCCAGGAGAGGACAATTGAGTGYGCTGGGGCTCAGCCCTTTGCTTGTTATGGTGTGTACTTCTGGAGGGTGGGAGAGCTGGGGCTTGCAGGGGCTGTGGGGGCTGTTCTGGGGCTTTGAGGCCAGCTGAGGTGGCCAGGAGCCACGGTGGAGGGTCAGGTCTCCATCCCGGCTGGGCTGCTCACGCCTCTGGCCTTGAAGAGCAGTGAGGAGTAAGGACCATGAGGAGCACGGTGCAAGCCAGGCCCTAGGGCACAGCGGTCCCCAAAACAGAGACTGGCACAGTCCCCTGAGCGGTACATGGAGAAGGGCTCCGTGAGGCCCCGCTAAGCACGGCTGGTTTTGAAGAAACGTGGCTTCATCCTCCCGGTGGCACCAGAAACCCGCTGGGCTTGTGCAGGGCCATGTTCCCGCAGCGTGACCGCGGCGGACAGCAGCGACCCTGCACACTGAGAGAGCCCAGGACCTGTGGGGACCCACCCAGCCCACCCCAGTGTGACACAGAGGAAGGACATCGCCCCGCTGCCACCCCAGCGGGGCTGAACACAGCTAGGCCAAGGGCCCTGTCACCTGGAGAGGGCTCCTACGAGGGACAAGGGCACCCCCAGCCTCCTCCATTCCTGTGGCTCACCGTTCTGCCCTGGGGCCTGCAAATCTGTCAGCTCGTTACTTTGTGAGAGGGCCTGGCCTAGCAGAGCGCCCACCTGGGCCTCGTTTGCACCCAGTGTCGGCCTTTTTAAAGGCCCCCAGGTGTGGGAGGCTGGAAAGTGTCTGCAAGGATGGAGCCTTGCTGGTTGCTGCTGGTGTGTGGGGCTGTGCTGGGGGTGGCAGGTGAGTGGTGATGGTGGGACTGGTGACACAGCCCTGGTCATCTCCCCTCATCCCTCTGGAGGGATGGCTGGTGGGACCTGTGCAGGGGGTGGTGGGTCTCCTGCATGGGCTCTCCCTAGACCCTGCTTATGTGAGCTGGAGGGCTGGAGAGGAGCTTCCTGCAGGTTTCCCTGCACTCTGGTGCTGTGGCTCTGGAGCTCTAGGGCTTGTCCTTAGCTCCCTGTGCCTGTGGCCACTCCTAGTGCTGCTGTTCCAGAGATGCTCTCCTATCTCTTCTGCCACACAAGTAGCTCCAGGTCCAATGCCAGCTGGGGCCCTGGTGCCACAGGGAGGCTCTTAGTGTGGCCAGCCTGTTCCCAAGGGTGCTTGGTGCCAGCAGCTCCCTGGGGTGCCTGAGGGCAGATCTGCCCTGCCTTTGGGGCAGGCTGGGGAGCCCTTTGGGCAGCACCACCTCTGGCTGGGCAATCTGGGCCTCCTGGGTGCCCTGCACTCCCTGAGCTGGGGCTGCCCCTCTCTGCAGGGCTGGGGGGGCTCTGCAAGCAGAGCATGGCCCAGGCAGCCGCTTCCTGGCAGCCTGGGGAGGTGCAGGACMGGTGTCCCGCTCCGAGTCCCTGGGGAGCGGATCCCGGCATCCTTGCTGTKCCCGGGACATGCTGCTTGGGCTGCTGCGTGCTCAGCTCTCAGTCCTGTTAGCTGAGCTCTTTGCTTCTCACTGCAGAGACCACGACGGCTCTGGCTATTCTGGCATCTTCCCCTCCCACCGTGGTGGCTTCCACAGCGTCCTCCAGCGTGGAGCCAAGGGCTGCTTCTGCCCTGGCTGGTGCCCCAGGGCCTGACCCAGCCCTGACCAAGGCTCGTGCTCACCTCCGTTCAGAGGAGCCACGGATGAACTTCTCCCTGAGGCTGGTGGATGGAGAGCACGCAGGTATGTTCTGCGCTGAGCCACCAGCTCTGGAGATGAGAACTGAAGGTGGGGCGAGACAGTATTTGCCCAGAAAGCCTGGGGGCTGCCCAGCAGCAGCTGGTGGTTTCAGTGCTAGAGACTCCAGGCAAAGGGGGCCATCGCTGCCAGACCATCATTAGCCATCGGCTATTTGCAGGGTTGTGGGAGGTGTGGGGCTTTGAAGAGCCTGGAGATGTTCCCCCATCACATGCTTGGCACCATGACCTGGCTTTTGGGAGAGAAGAGTGAGTGCATGGCTGCTCCTTGCCAGCCTGATGGGTGACATGGTCCWTGTGAGCTCCTCGGGAGAGGACTAGGACAGAGTTCTGGTGCCGGAGAGCAGAAGAGCACGGGGGCAGAGCTGGCCCGGCTCTTGGGTTTCTAGAGGCAAGGGCTCACCCTTGTGGTGGGCACCAAAATAACATCCCTTTGGGTGGGTGCTTGTCTTGTGAGGGTGGAAGCAGAGATTCTGGTGGGCACAGATGTCTGCTCCACGTCCCAGTTCAGACATGAGCGGGTCCAGAGCTGTAGCACTGAGCCAAGCCTCCTGTCTCTACCAGGGGATCCCAATGACGTGAAGACAACTCATGTGTTCATTCCTGGATCTCCCATCCATGTGGAGGCCAGGGTGGAGTTCAGTCCTGGCATCTCCCTGAAGATCTATGTGGACGAATGCTACGGGACAGACTCCAAGCACCTAGGCCGCTCCAGGAGGATCTACGTGGTTGTGAACAACCGAGGGTCAGTGACTGTGCAAGGACGGGGATAATGACAGGAATGAGTGCTGTGTGACCAGTTGTTTCCCTAGCAGCACAGTTCAGACACYTCCAACCAGGGCCATGGGTCTGCTCCTGTCTTTTCCTGGAGAGCTTCTGCCCCCATCTCTGCTTGGGAAGTATATCCAGAGCAGAGCCTGGAGTGGGCTCTAGAGATGCCTCTGGGTTGCTCATGGGTCTTTGGTCTCCTCCCCAGATGTCTGCGTGCCCAGAAGCTGGGGAGTGTTACCTGGCACCGGAGAGGGGCRTCTGCCCTCCAGCTGATCATCCCAGCCTTCATGCTGAGCGATGAGCCTGAAGAAGAGGTGAGGCTAGGGAGCAGGGAGGAACTTGGTGGCCAAGGAGAGGCCCTGATGGCTCCAGGGTACCCAAGTGCTGTTCCTCCTGTTCCCTTCCCTGGCTGTCCCTGCTCCCTCATCCTTCTCTGATGTGGAAGGATATGGAGGTGCATGGTAGGCATGTGAAGCAAGCAGAAAGTCTCCAAAAGTGACTGCAGCTCAAAGCAAGGATGTGGTTTAACCAACACCTTGACTGGCCCAAACTGCTTTCTGCCCATGGAATCACTGCCCTGCAGTGGTGCTTGGGCCAGGCCCTGTGCAGCCTCTGAGGATGGGCTGGTGTCTCAACAGGTCTTCCTGCACTGCCTGCTCGCCGCCTGGGGCACCGAGGCTGCCCGAAGGCATGGCCAGAAATCCTGCTACTACAGYGATGCCTCTGCCAGGTGGGCTTGGCCTCTGGGGGGGGCTCCCTGCCTGCTGTCCTCACCTGAGTGGCTACCAGAGCACCCATGGGTGCTTTGGGCAGAGGTGGCAAGAAAGCCATAGGGTTCCTTTCCAGGAACTGAACCTCCCCTCTTGCTTTCAATGCTGCATCTTCTCCCACAGTAACTGGGCAGCAGAACCTGCCTCTAAGCACAGGTGAATGGAGAAGGTGCTTTCTGGAGCCCTTTCCAGGGAGTCGCCTTTCCCCCTTGGGAAAGCTGCCTCCTGGGCACCTCAGCCCTGGAGGTCTGAAGGACCTGCTGGAGCTGCACCATGTGGGTCCTGGGGATGGGGCATGAGGTTCCTCAGCTTCCCCCCTTCTCCTTTCAGCTGGCAGAATGTGGAGGACCCTTCCCAGAGCGCCCTGTGTGACTGCTGTGACGCTCATTGCCCTGCTGGTGGTGGCTTCCCTCGAGAGCTGCCAGGTACCTGCCCTGGGATGCCACCTCTGGGGCTTTCTATGGGCACATCCTGACAGGGAGCTCTTGGTCCATGACTGCTGGTGGCTTCTCCACAGTGACAGCTTGCTCAGCCAAGGCCAGCTGAAGTCCTACAGGGATCTGAGTAGCTGGGCTTTCTGTCAAGCCATAGCAGGGTGATTTAGGGCCCTAAGACTAGACACAGCCTACTGGAGAGGTTGGAAGCCCCTAGGAAGCTGTGCAGGACCACTTGCTGCTGTCCGCAGGTGGAGGGTGCTCTCCTGCTCTGGGAGTCCTGGGCCRTAGGAAGGGAGCACCCCTTGCTCCCTTGAGCTGAGGCGGCTTTTGGCTACAGCGTGCTGTCACAACAGGGGCCAGGGACATGATCAGATCTCTAAGGGCCTTGTCTTTGTTGAAGACTTCCCAGGAGAGGGGATGCTCCACCAGAAGATGGTTGGACCTCTGCKGATACAGAAGGAAACACCATGGTATGAAGGTATGTGGACAGACCTTGCACTGCTGAGACCTGGGSCCAGGTAGCTTCATAACTTTGCAGTCCTTTGTCTCGTTGACCTAGTTYGGCCCTGAGGTGTAGAGCTCTGGTTCTTGGTGGCCTCTCAGCCTGGGAGCAAGCGCTTGCTTCCTCCCGAGATGAGGAAGCCCAGGAGGTGCAATCCTATCCCGTAGTGCAATCCCCCAAACCTCTCTTCTTCCTCCAGCACGGTGCCACACGGTGAAGAGGCTCCTGCTGGCCAGCACGGYGTTTGTGGGCAGCGCCCTGGTGGCAGCTGCCCTCCTGGGAGGCCTCCTCGTCCTGGGCTTGGCCGTGTCCCGCTTGCACCGACGCACCGGGAGGCGCCGGCCGCTGAAGACGAGGCAGCGCTACCCCTTCCACGCAGAGCTGCAGACTGTGGTGGGGGCTCTCGCCGTCTCCGAAGGCTCAGGGAAACAGCAGGAGTCCAGTGTAGATTATTCCAGCCCAAAGCACGGCACAGCTTGATGCCCGAAACCCCTCTTTCTCCCCAGTACAAGTTAATTTCTCTAAAGCTTGTCCTGCAGCTCATTCTCCCTTGCAGGAAGAAGTAGTCCCCCAGAGACTGAAGGGAGCCGTGCCGGGCAGCCTCACCCAGCGCTAAGGCACGGCAGTGACACATCCACTAGGCCAGCTGGCCCTGCTTCCCCAGCCTGGGCTGTGCAGTTCCAAAGTGGRTGTTGTAGGAGGCAGCGGCTCCAGCTGGGATGAGCCTGCCCTGGAGAACCAGAGCTGTGGGCTGCAGCAGCCGAGCAGGTCTGAGGTGGTAACTGCTCCCAGGCCACTGTCCCTAGGCTCTCCTGTAAATTGGCTAATGGGTTGAAGAGAGTAAGGGCATCCTTGATGCCTCTGGGACATGAATAGGTTCAGGGTCCTGCTGTTGGCCACTTGGGYTGTGGGCTGGGACATCCAGCTCTTTGTGAAGGGGCCTTCCTGCTGGTACAGAGGAGGATGCAGGGCTTGCTCTCATCACCTGAGGGCTGTGGAGGGCTCCTCATGGCTGCTCCTCTCTTCAGGGCTGGGTCTGGTACAAGCCCTGAGCTGTGGCTAAGAGGAAGGTGGTGGGAGCAAGGCTGCATGGCCTGCTAGGCCCATCCACGCAGGAAGAGGAGCTGTGTGCCAAGAGCTGAACCCGGCTCTGGGCCCAGGATGCAGCAGCTCCCTGTGTGGCTGAGGCTCCTGGCCTCCCCTTYGCGCTGGGGCCAGGCTTCCCCTGGGAGGGGACACAGGTGACAAGTCCTGCTCGTGGCAGCAGCACTTGAGTGTCCTATACACCACACAGAGCCAGAGTCGGGTCAGATCTGAAATGTTTTATTAGGACCGGTCAGGGTGGGGAGAGTTGATGGGTGCTGGCAGAGCAGACCCCGTGGCCGGGGCTGCCCGGGGGCTGTGACCTGAGCATGGCTTCACAGTGAACGGATTTGGGCAGCCTCAGTCATGGAAGGACCTGGGTTTCCTACCAGTCCTGGGGCCGGGAGGGTTGGGCTCTGCCGGGAGCCCCCAGTGCTGCCGGCCCGGCGGGGCTCTCCTCGCCAAGCTGAGGCTGCTGGTGCGGGGGTGATGCACTGGGAGGAAGGAGCAGCTCCAGGGGCTGGCAGCAGCCAGGGCAGCTCAGCTCGAGGAGCGAGGTTCTCCCTCTGTGCTGTAGAGCTTGCGGATGCTGGAGTCCATGAGGAAATCCACAGACCTGGGGAGCAGGGGAAGCTGGGTCCCAGCTGGGGGCAAKGGGCTGGGAGCTGCCCCTGCTCAGGGCTGTGTGTCTCCCACCTGCCTCCTACCACAAAGAGCACGGGGGGCTGCTTTGCTCCTGCCCCAGCGCTCCCAAAGATCCCATCCCAGCCCGTCCTTTGCAGGGAGGGAGGAATCCCGTCCCCTGGCCCCGCACGCATGAGGCCGGGGCCGCACTTGCCTGTCGATGGGCTTGACGATGAAGGGGATGGYGGAGAGCCCCAGCGCCGTGGTGAGCCACTTGCGCGCGGGCAGCGGCCAGCGCGTCAGCGCGCCCAGCGCGTASAGCGAGGCGGCGCACAGGCGGTTGATGGTGAAGCCGGGGATGGCCACGGAGGCGAGGCCCTGCCACACGAACGTGTCCACCACGGCCGCGCCGACCCGCGCCGGCCGGTCACGCGCGGGGCCCTGCGGGGAGCCAGGGAGCCTCGTGCCACGGGGCGGCCGCGCGCGAGGGCAGGGCGCGCGCGCGAGGGCTGCTCACCGCCGCCGCCTTGCCGCCCTTGTGCACGGCGTCCGCCGCCACGTAGGCCGTGGCCACGCCGTAGCTGGCCCACACGAGCGCCGCGGGCACCACGGCGCGGAACGACTCGCCCACCTCGTTGGCGTAGCCTGCGGGCGGGACGGCTCAGCGGGGCCGGGCTGAGCCGCGGGCTCCCGCGCGCCCCCGGGTCACCTTGGCGCCGCCGCCCTGCCGGCTCGGCGCACGGGGCCGGCGGTGGCGGTGCCGGCGGTGGCGGGGCCGGCCGCGCTCACCCAGGTAGCGCAGCCACGTGTCCCGGTACGGGTCGAGCTCCTGCGCGCCCATGGCTCCCGCCGCGGCCGCCCCGCCCGCCGGGGCACGGAGGGGCACACGCGCCTCCCTCCGGCTGCTGCGCTTCCGCCCGATAAAGACATGGCGGCGCCGGCGCAAGTGCTGTCAGCCACGTGACCCCGGAGGCGTCCTAGGGGCGGGGCGAGGGCAGCCCCGCGGAGCGCGCTCGGGCCTGTGGCGGCGCTGGGGACACGGCGGGGCCGGGGCCGGGGCACACGGCGGGGCCGGGGCACACGGCGGGGCCGGGGCACACGGCAGCGGCACGGCCTGGCGCCAGCCCCAGCAGGAGCTGGGTACGGGGCTGGGCCCTGGCCGGCTATCGGGGGTGCCGTTACAGGGCCACGCACAGCCCCAGGGCAGCCCCAGTCGTGGGGCAGCAGCTGGCCCCGTCCCCAGAGACCAGGCAAGACGCAGCTCTGTCCATCCCTTTACTGCCGCAGTGCCGCCCTGCTGCCGGGGCCTGCCCCCCATGCCTRAGGCACCCACGAGTCCTGCCCCTCGGCCCCTCCTTGGCCACAGCTCCGGGGGCTCCGGCCTCGTGGTGGCCCTCAGGGCTGGGGGGGTCTCCTTCRTGGGCCGGTGCTGTCCTTGGGCGTGGGAGAGCAGCCGTTGAGGGCTGCCACACCCCAAAAAGTGCAGGGTGCTTGTGTGCGTGCGCCGGGGGACCCCGCTGAGCGTGGGCAGCAGGGCCTGCCCAAGCCCCAGGGGGCAAAGCACAGGGCTGCCAGGAGGGGCAGGCTGGGCCGGACCTGCCTTCATGGGGCACCAGGGCTAAACYCCTTCCCCTGTGCCCTTGCTGCCTCCCGGAGGAAAGCAGCAAGGCCACCATCACCATCAAAGCGGGGAAGCTGCCCCTGGGCCCTCTCAGGTCCCTTGCTCACCGTCCCCTCGAGGCGGGGTGACGGCGGGCACAAGGGGCCACCATGCCAAGGGCTGTAGCGCAGGGCTGGGAGAAGCCAGCAGGGTAAGGCACCAGGTGCAGGCGTTAGGGGCTGTTATTGAGGGCCACCTCGCTCATCTTGTCGCCCAGTTTCTGGATCTGCTCTTCCGAGCTCTTGTCCGGCAGCAGGACCTCCACGGTGTAGCTCACCTTCTTGGTGTGGATGTAGCTGTAGGTGTTGTCGAAGCGCAGCACATCTGCGAGCAGGAGGGGGTGGGGGGTCAGCACCCCATCCCTCACACACCCCTGCTGCTCCCGGGGATGGCGTGACCCACCCTGAGCCCCCACATCGACCCTCCTTSCTGCCCTGCTGTGGCCGGCACTGCAGGCAGCAAGGTCACCGTGGCAGGACACGGAGGGGACACTCACAGATCCCTGGCGAGGAGCAGGTGAGGGAGCCGTCCTCGGGCACCATGTGCGAGTTGTAGCGCTGGTTGGGGTAGACCTCGGTCATGGCGCCAGCACGCTGCCGCTCCCCAATCTTCGTCTTCAGGTACACCCCGAACCCCACATCAGCCCCTTCTGACTTGAACTGCCACCTGCCAAAAACACGGACAGGCACGGGCTGACGTGGGGAATGGCACCTCCTCCCGGGCCTCGTCACCCCGATTCCCCGCTTCACGAGGGAGCCCCTGCCCTGAGGCCGGCCTGGCTGCCCCCCTCACCTGAGGACACAGCCAGGGAAGAGGATCTCGTACTCGACCTGGTGGGACGAGCCCCGGTTCACCACAACCGTGTGCTCGTACTGCTGTGACAGCTGGTCCCGCACGTAGTACTTGCGGGGCACGTCGCCACCGTAGTTAATCTGGAGGGAGTTGGAACCAGGCAAGAGAAGGGGGCACTGCTGCCACCTGCCCTGACAAGGGAGGGCTTGCAGGGCAGCRGGGATCACCTCCTACCTTGCTTGGGCACTTGGGGTTCCCATCGGGGTCTGTGAGGGTGCCTCCATACTCCACAGGGATCTGCTCAGGTTCAATATATTTCTGCAAAACCTCCTTCCAGTTGGCTAGCAGGGGAGAGGGCAACAGGTCAGGGGGCTTCCTGGAGRGCCAGTACCCCCAGACAAGCCCTTAATCTGGCCAAATGGTTGCCCTGCTGGGACACTCCAGGCTAATGGGGATGGTGGTGTGGAGAGGTCCTCAGGGGATCCCCACAGAGCCCAGGAGCAGCCCATAGGTCTCTCTCCTCCTCTCCAGTTCATGGAGGAGCCAAGGTGGCCTTTGGGACATGGACAACAGGGCTCGAGCTCTACTCACATCCCAGCACCACGACCTTCTTGCGGGTGTCCTCGCTCAGGAAGTGCTTGATGAGGTTGTAGGCCACTGGGAAGATCTTGGGAGCTAGGGAACAGAGGCCGAACGTCAGAGCAGTGGTGGCCCGGAGACACAGGTTTTGGGGGAGTGTGGTCAGCGCTGGTCTCACCTTTCACGATAAGCAGGCGCTTCAGCGACTCGGGGTAATTCTCTTCAAACATGGACAGGAGCTGCAAGATGAGGAGGGCTTCAATCAGAGGGAAGCCCCATGGTTGCGCTCCAGCCCTGAACCTCTTTCCCTGCCCCATTCCTGGGGACACACAGAGGAGTTGGGGGCAGCACATGGGACACCTTGAGCTTCACCGTGAGCTCCAGGGTTCCCTCAAGGCTGCCCTGGACACAGCTAGCTGCGGGGTGGTCTGCCCCAGGCCAGGCTCCTGCAAGGATCTGCTCTTGCATCAGCCCTGGGCAGCGAGTCAGACCGGATCCCCGAGTCAACACAGCAGCCCAGGAACAACAAGGGAGGAGGGCTGTGCACAGTAGCACATCCGTCCCTCCCACGGGGACATGCGCTGGAGACGCCCAGAGACCTCTGCTAGAGGGGCAGAGACACCGGTGAGGCCCTCACCTCTCCGTACGTGTCCACGGCYGGCTTCCAGAGATGCTTCAAGCCCAGGCCCTCGCAGTCATAAACCATCATCACCATCTCAATCTTCCTACCCAGCTGGGAGCAAGGGAGCACACAGGATGTAAGGCAGAGCCCAGCCCCTGTGGGGAGCTAGGCCCTGTGAAGAGCAACGTGCCATGGGACAGGGTGAGTGGGTGGCTACAGAGAGGGACACCAGCACCCTGCGGCGCTGGCCATAGCGGGGAGCCCAGCTGCACCCAAGGCAGATGGGCTTGGTCTGTGGTTATACAAGCAGCCGGCTTGCATGGGGAACTGGTGCTTATTGCCCAAGCACTGCTTGCAGTCCAGCCGCCCACAGCTTCCCACCCAGSCCTTGTCACCCCGTGGCTTCCTACTTGGCCACGCTGCAAGAGCCGGGCACACCACAAGGATGGCAGCCCAACACCAGCACCAGGCCAGAGCCTCCTCCAAAACATCAGCACAGAGAGAAAGGGCATCACAACGTGCGTGTGGAGACTGGGCAGGGATGTGGGGTGGCATGTGCGCTGSTGAGGCTGGACAAGACACAGGCTGGTAGGGATAGCAGGGCGGGACAGGACCTGGACTGGTGGGGATGAGGGCTAGCAGAGCTGGCCAGCGCAGGGAGCCTGTCCGCAGGACGTGGGCGGGCAGGACCTCACCTTCTGGCTCTGCTTCTCACACTCAAGCCGCAGCATCTCGCAGTCACGGAACTTGTTCTTGAGCAGGTCCTGCTTGGAGGCAGAGAAGAGCAGCCCCTTGCCATCCAAGGGCCCGATGATGTCGTACCAGACGGGAGAGCCCTCCCGGTCGTAGCCGCACATGCCCCCGGACATGTATTTTCTGATCACCTGCAGGAACAGGCAGGACCTCAGGACTGAGGAGGTGCGTGGCCCTCGCATGGCTTGTACCCCAGGCCAAGGGACACTCCTCTCAGGGGACACTCACCTCAGGGGGCTCCCAGTTGAGGATGTTATCAGCATCCATGTGCTTCCGGACCTCCATGTGCTGYGAACGCAAGGCAGAGCAAGCGGAGGTGAGGAGAGCCTCCAATCCCACACTGGGACTGGGGGGGCACTCCGAGCCCGACTACTGCGACCCCCTAGGTGAGTCTAGCCGTGGCACAGGGGCAGGCAAGGCCCTGCCGCGGGCCAGGAGCCGGGCAGGGCGCTGGGGTCTCCTCCCCAAGCGCGTCGCCCTCTCACCTTGCGGAGCATCGCCTCCGACTTGGGCAGGTCGAAGCTGCGCGCTGCAAGAGAGCAGAGAGGCTCAACCACGTTGCAGGGGCYGGGCACAACTGCCTCGCTCGCCCAGGAGCTCCCCGCGGCCGCGCCAGACACCCCAGGGGCTGAGCCAGCCCCTGCCCAGGACGGGTCCCCGACAGGCCCCGGGGCACAGGGTGGCCATGGCAGAGCCCAGGGGGAACCCGGACTGTGAGCTCCATTATCACGAAACCTGCTGCCTTTGCCAATCCCGAGTCTTATCACCTTTCTAAAGTCCAAGAGCAGCAGGGTGCCAAGCACGCGGGCCCCGGGCAGCCTGCCCGCCGGGCAGCCCCCATCCCTGGCCGGGCCACAGCCCTCAGGAGCCCACGCGGCCGTGGCCCTTGGGCTCTCTGCCRTCACTGAGCACAAGAGCAGCCTAAGCCCAGTGTTTCAGCAGGACACCCAYCCAGGTGGCTCTGGATGCCCTTCCCCCGATGGCTCCGGGCTGGCATTTCCAGCCCGGCAGGCCRGGAATGGGACCCGTTCGCACTCCCCGTCCACGGTCCCTGGGCTCCCCAAGCCTGCTCCTGCTGCAATCCCACGGTGTGCCCACCCCACACGTTACCTCGGAGCCATTTCAGGAGGAAATAGTCGTCCTGCGAGGGGAGGGAAGGGAGCAGGTCCTTGATATTTGCCCGAAACTGTGGGGAGAAGAGGGTCAGTGGCCAGAGTCCCCCTCGCACCCTCCACGTGGGCCCACATGAGGCACCATGGAGCAAGGCTTGAGACTCGAGCCTGCCAGACACGATGCCCAGCCTTCAGGGGCAGAGGGGAGTCTCATGCTGCACCACAAGGCCAGCRGTGCAGGCGTAGGCGTGATGAGCAGGGCGGTCTCTGCTCTGCTCCCTGGCAGAGGACAGTCTCCCCCAAGCCAGCAGGATGCTGAGCACGGCCCAGGCCATCGCTGAGCCAGCCCTTGGCACCAGGGGTCCCTTGGGACACGAAAACAGCCCCAGACACTGATCCCRGTGTCCCCAGATGATGCGGGACCCAAATCCACCCCCCCATGCCATACCGCTCAGGGGCCTGCCCTTAATGAGGCTGCTTAGGTTCAGATGGCGCTAATCTAGGCACAATTAAACCCCGGATTAGCTTCTTCACCCTGAGAAAAACAACACCGCTCGCGAGGGAGCGCGGCGCCTGCCCCAGCACGCAGGCGCTGCGGGTTTCTGGGCTCGCGGGCCCCGCAGGGATGGCACCAGGGGGGTGGCAGCGGCGCGCCAGGCGGCACCCACGGCCACGCAGCCGCCCCGGGGCCGCCGGAGCTGCCCCCGACGGGACACGGCTCAGGGCACGGGCGGCAAGGCGAGGAGAGGCACCGTCGGAGCCCGGGGCCAGGGCCCGCGCCCCGGCACGGGGCTTGGTTGGCTTCAAAAGCAAGCGATAAGATAAAGTCCGTGAAGTTGCCCTCTCCTCGGGATTAAATTGTGCAGGGAGATAAACCCTCAGGTGGCGGCTGTCAAGAGATAAAGGTGGGACGGGGCAAATCCGTGCGCTGCCGGGACCTTGCGGCTCGCCGGGCCCCTGTTTGAGCCCAGCGAGGCATTCCCAATGGATGTGGCACCCGGGCACTTGGACACCAGCCTCCCGCTGGGAGGCCACCCAGAGAGCGGCGAGCTGCCGTCGCCGCAGGTTTCCCCGGGGCCATGGCCCGGGGGGGCCGCTCGAGCCAGGCCTGCCCTGGCGAAGGGCACGCGGGGTCCCTCGAGCCGCGGGGCCAGCGACACGGGGCGCAGCGTGGGGCGGCCGGGCCTGTCCCCCAGGTTCGCGTCCTGTCCACAGCCGCCTCATCCCCAGCGTCCGGCCSGGCTTGCTGCTGCCGGCCAGGGCTCGGCAGGGGATGTGCAGCGGGGCCGGGGCACCGCGGCCGGGCAGGGGGAGACGGAGAGGCGGGCGGCTCCGCGGCGGGCTCAGAGCCCCGGGACCGGCCGCGCTGTGCCCGGCTGCCGCGCGCCCCAGGGATGCCCGGCCGCGCCTCACCTGCGCCAGCGCCTC